CGCAGAGACGTAGCGCATATGGCTATGGCTAAGTGCATTGCCGTCCGTGTGGCCTGTCTCGTGTTTGCAGCCTGCCCGTCACTTACTGAATGGCGAGCGCACAGATAGAAAACGTACAGTTATAACAATACCAGCTTTACTTCCGCGCATTTCCAATAGGAGACAGTGATATCTTTCTACAGCTACGGACCTTCCCTTCTTGCACATGGAAAGGAGTTGCATCGATCTTGTAGTGCGTCTTTGAAACTCTGCTCGCAATGGGGCCAATTAGGCCGCACTTCTGTTATGTGTGGGATAAAGGAGTGCTGTTCTGTACATCAGTCGACCCCAGGCCGAATTTGAACAGCACTCATATTTTTCTCTCTGTGACCGGGCGACTGCGCTATCCATTACTTCACCGGTGCAGCCTCTTACCCTCTCAGCTCAATGGTTTTGCACCTCGACATCACATGTTTAACCTGGTGAGCCGGTGAGCCAGTACGGCGAACAACCGCAAGGGTTAGAGGAGGCCCGGATGACGTATGATTAGCGCTCTCGCCCAATAAGCTTCAGGTGCGCGAGTCAGCCTGGAGTCGCAAGTTTCACCCAAAACTCAGCTCTAGTGATAAATTGCGGAGCGCAAGCTGTGGCATAAACAGCACTTATCATAACAAAACAATTTTCACGAATATGTTTTGAGCAAAATAGAGAGGACTACGCATAGTTGATGCTGATACTGAAAACGAAACAGCACTCCTCATTACGAATTGCGGCGCGAGAATTCGAAAATTCTCAGAAAAAGCCCTATCTGAGAAAACGAAGCATTTTCTGCATTCAGCAGAAGGAACATGCAAAGCCTTGACAACCGTGGACTTGAGTTCCCACATTCTTGGCATTGTCGCTGACATAGGGAAACAGGCGATTCTACCGTGAGCAAGCGAGGTCGCACCACTCACAATGCATCTGAAGAGCCGCGCTGCTCCCGTATTCGTTCGAACTGTCGCGAGCAAGCGCTTTGCTCTTG